ATTTCTGCGGAACCAGTAGATGAAGCCGCGCGGCTCGAGGATGTGAGAGGAGCCGCGCGGCGCGGCTCCGCGCGAAGTGGAGCCGCGCAATCCGTGTGTGAGGTTGAAGCCGGGCGCGGAGCCCTGAGTGGAAAAGTGTGTGAGGAGAGAGAAGCGAGAGAGAAGGGGGTAGGTGGAGATGGTGGGGTTGGGGTGGGTAGTGCTGGGGCTGGTAGGGGTAGGGGGAGGGAGGAGAGAGAGAGAGAGAAGGAGAGGGTAGGTAGGGCTGGTAGGGGTAGGGGTAGGGAGGAGAGAGAGAGAGAGGAGGAAAAGGGTAGGGGGTAGGGTGGGGCGCGTCGATGACCCCCCTCCTCTCGTCGTTGATGTTGATCTCTATTGTTATCTCGGCGTGGAAGATCATCGCGGCGCTTATTTCGAGGCTTATCAATGTATTCGCTCAAGTGGCCTTGCTTGATCAACCTCTCAATCGCCAATTTGAGTTGCGCACATTCATCGGTAGTATGCCCTTTATCTTTGTGGAATCGACAATAGCGATCCGATCTTTCTCGTTTCGCATTGGGTTGCATTGGGCGTGGAGGCTCTGCCAGACCTTTTTGTTCAATCACATGAAGTATTTCAGTGAGACGAGTATTGAGTGGAGTGAATCTATTATAAGTTGAAGATGATTGGCCTTGAGGCGGGGGTGGAGGACGTAGATCATCTCGTCTCCTAATATCCGGGCGGTCATCTTCTCTCTTCCTCTTGGGAGGAGCATTGGCAGAAGCTTCCTCTATGCGTATGTATTTTTCAGCTCGATTTAACAACTCATCTAAGTTGCCAGGAGGTCTTCCTGCGATAGATTCTTTGAACCTACCCGACTTCAGGTTTTGCTGCATAATCCCTGAAAGCATATCTTGTCCTACACTGGGAACTTCATGAACAGCCTCCACGAAACGCCTGATGTAGTTGCGGAGTGTTTCATTGTCTCTCTGTACGATAGAGAAGAGATGTGCTGGTGTTTTAGCATATTGCTTATTGATGGCGAATTGGTTGGTGAAGCGCAATGATAACTGAGCGAAAGTGTCAATTGATCCTGTGGGCAAAGCATTGAACCAATTCATGGCTCTCTTGGAAAGAGTGGTGCGGAACATCTTGCACATTGCTGCATCTGTTGGGCCATATAAATCTGCCATAGCGTGGAACTTCTCTATGTGTTCCTGCGGGTCGGTAGTTCCTTCGAACTGAGGTAAGCCTGATACTTTCACTCCTTGAGGCAATACCTCGTTGAGGATGTTCAGGGGTGAAGGACTGCGCCTTGTTGGGACTGGCGCTCTTCCGTCAATTGGGTTGTCCAATCTGGGGAACTGGTTTTGGCGAGATACTCTACTATTTATCTCGTCTTCCCCTTCATTAAAGAGATCAGGTCTTCGTAGAGACGCA